AATGTTTCTTTTTAACTAACTCCTTCAGATAAGAAAGCATTTCTCAAGTTGTATTTGTAAGAATGCCCCTTAGGTCCTAAAGAAAGGGGGGCAGAAAATTCTCTATCAGTTTCCTTTTTTTTTTTATTTTAAGCATGGTCTGGAGGACCTTCTGTCTGCTCCAATTTCCTCCTATTGTATTTAATGTTGCTGCAGGAAAGGGGTAGCACACAGATGCTTTCCTGGCCTTCATGGCTCAGAGATTTTGACAAGTCTAGTCACGGATCAGCCATATGACTTGTCGACAGAACCACAGGTAAAGCCCAATCTATCCGTGTAGCTGCAGCTGTGGAGATTTCATAACACACCCTCTCTCTCTCACACTCACACGGGAGGTTATAACCCTCCCATCGAGTTCCAAGGTTTCTGGAGTTCCAAGGTTCCCAACCAAAACCACATGAGACCCTCGAGGTGTCCCTGAGAGGTGATCAGCCTTTCCTTCCACCATTCTGGTTAGGCCACATGGGAACCAGGGCCCTGGAACCTTGCCTGATCTGATGTTGGCACCAAGTCCTGGCCTCACGTAGCCCTTTGGAAGTTAGGCACCAGATGGCCTTGTGGGGGCTGGGCAGGAGCAGCCAAGTCAGAGACCCTGAAAGGAAAGTCCTCAGCCAAGCATGCTTCCTTTTCCTTGGCTTTCCTTCCCCTCCTGCACCACGCGCGTCCTCCTAAGCTGATGGCTCAAAGGGCCAAGGTGCTTGTTTTTCCCTGCTGATACCAAACGCAGCCCTCAGTTTCCCTCAGCCAATAAAAGGAAACTGAGGAAAAAGAAAGTGGTTTAATGTGTCGACAAATGAGGAGGGCAGCAGACTCCTGTCTGAAAGACAACCGTCCTGCTCTTTGGCAGACGGCAGGGGGATTTATACAAAGGAAAAAAAAAATGGAGATGGGCTGGGGTCTGCAAAGGGGAAGGGGAAGGGGTCTGCCCCGAGATGGGTGGGCGCCAGCTTGTTTTTCTTCCATAGCTGATGTTTGTTTAACTTTCTCTACCTTGAAATACAGGAGTGCTCATCTGGGAAACTGGGTTATAAAGATAAATCTGTCAAACAAGGGGGAAATTGCAACAGATGGGGGAAAGACAAACTGTTCATCTTGTTAATGCCCATCAAAGACAAACCTGTCAGGAAATAGGAGAAGACAAATATGTCAATGCCTGTCTAAGAGACTGGTACCTGTCATTGGTACCTGAATCACTGTCAGGGAAAGGAAAAATGTTGCAGAAATAAATTCTAGCCTTTTACCCAAGCAAAGGAAGAACAAGCTGTACTTCAGGAATGGTGAGGTCAGGAGAAGCTTTATTACTTGTGCTTGAGGTCTCAGACCTGGGCAGTTCCTTAAGGTCCGAGCACCTGTCTAGAGACACTGATAACAGCAGTGAGCAAGCACAACTATTTTCTGTAAAAGTCCTAGACAAAAGGGGAAAGATGGACATTTGGGGATGTCCTTTGAGAGATAAATCAGCTTGGCCTTAGGGGCCTCCCTGGTAGTGCAAGGGGTTAAGCACCGCACTATGGAGCAATTTGCAGCCTCTGCAATCCCGGGTTGACCAGGGAGCTACCCACATGGCACAGCAGACCTCTTCTGACTCACCTGCTGCTCCTCTCAGCAGTGTACTTAGGTCCATCTGACTGTTCTGTTCTCCACTCTGTCTCTGGTGAATCCTCTCACCCCCCCACCCATCTCTGGCCTGTACCCTAGCTCTTGCATAAATAAATAAATCTTTAAAAAAAAAATCAGCTTGGCCAGCTATCTGACCTTGTTACAATGTAACCTCATTTAGATAAGCTAAAACTTAGATGGAAAGGTCCCTAAGGAAAGGTTTATCAAGAAAGCAAACTTGTTATTTACAATGGCATTTGGATTATTTACTGCACCAGGCCTAAGACCCTTTAGCAGGAAAGATTTATTTGCTTAGTAGTTCCTTTTCAGATTTCACCTAAGTACACTGATGCTAAACTTAAATATTTCTATAGCAAGTCATTTGACCACATAACATTTTTTTCAGATACCTCTCTCAGACCTTCAACTCTTTTGCCTTCCTATTTTTATACCATTTCTTTTTAAAGCTAGCCATTCTGTTTTGACACTCAGTGTTTCCCAATATCCTCAACATAGCCATTTCAAATACATTCCTTAACACAACTCACTTTATTTACATTTAGAGTTATGATGATGTTGTTTTTGGATTTGGAGTGCTGGGTCCTTGGGTTCACTCTGGGAAAGGTTTCACCAGAGTTCCCCTTTCAGAGGCCGGCGGCGAGTTTCCCGGGTGAGTTTCTCCAGCAGGCAGAGACATTAGTTTTATTTAAGGAGCAGGTTTATTAGCAAAGGGGACAGAAGAGTAAAAGACACTTGCATAGACACAAGTGGGCAGGAAGAGCTGTCCCCAAAGGGGCAGGTTTGCTGAGAGAGGCCTGTGTGGTTGCAGGCGGGTGGCCTTGAGGAGAGCTGCCTCTGCTGAGGGAGGTCAGTGAGGAGAAGTCCCAGCAGGTACAGGTCACAGGCAGGCAGGAGGCTGCTGCTATGTGGAGGGAGAGATTTGGTGGAAGGAAGCACCTGAATAGTCACAGGTGGGCAGAGGGAGTGCTGCCCCTTTGTGGGGGCAGCATAAGGTTTTATCCTCTTCAGGGAGGGGCTCACCCTTGTGGATGGATAGTTTGTGCTCTTTACACTCCCTATAGCAGTCTCATAGTTTCTGGGTGTTGTGCCTCCTGATCTGGGCATTGATGCCTAAGGGTCTTGCTTTCTATAACTGGGTTAATGGTTTACGCTAATCCCCTCTACCCCTACCTCCTTGTGCGCATTAGGTTCTTTTTTTTTTTTTTAAGATTTATTCATGCTTACAAGAACTAGGGTACAGGCCAGAGGCATGGGAGGATGAGAGGATTCACAAGACAGAGTGGGGAGCAGAACAGGCAGACAGACTGAAAACACTGTTGAAGAGAATAGCGGGCAAGACAGGACAGGTCTGCCACGCCATGTAGGTATCTCCTTGGTCAGCCAGGAATCAAACCCACACTGCAGAGACTGTGGACACTGCTACTTTTTTTTTTTTCCTTTCACATCTTTATTTTTTTTTAATTCAAATTTTATTTTTATATTCCCCATACAATTACAACCCCCTTATTTTGACCTCAAGCCCTCCTTTCCCCACCCCCCACCCCCCCATATAATGTCTCTGGTTCATAGTTGTTTGTTGATTTTGATATTTTCTTTCTTATAGTTATTCTTTTTCCTGGTCCCTTATTTAAGTTTTCTAGATTCTTGCTATGAGTGAGACCATTGGGTATTTTTCTTTTTCTTTCTGGCTTATTTCGCTGAGCATGATCCCTTCTAGCTCCATCCATGTTGCTGCAAATTGCATGTATTTATCTTTTTTGAATGCTGAGTAATATTACATGGTGTATATGTACCACATCTTCTTGATCCAGTCATCTATTTTTGAGCATTTGGGTTGTTTCCAAAGCTTAGCTATTGTAAACAGTGCTGCTATAAACATAGGGGAGCAGGTGCTCTTTGGAATTGATGTTTGTGTGTCCTTTGGGTAAATACCTAGGAATGGAATTGCTGGATCATATGGAAGCTCTATCTTTTGTAGGTTGGGGAATCTCCACATAGCTCTCCATAGTGGTTGGACCAGTTTGCACTCCCACCAGCAGTGCAGGAGAGTTCTGTTTTCTTTACATCCTCGCCAACATTTGTTGTTGCTAGTTTTTTTAATATGTGCCGTTCTCACTGGTGTGAGATGATATCTTGCTAGAGACCAGCTCCAGCTAAAAGTTGTGTCAGGGGCCTCAGAGAGGAGAGGACGGCGTCGGCCAAGTTTTCTCTCGGAGGACTGAGGGGAAGTGGAACGAGGTAGAAGTGAAGTAGACACAGACACCCTCTCTGGTGCAAGTATCTCCTACTGAGGGTCTCAGCAGATCTTTATACCTTAAGGCGAGCGGTGAGATTACATCAGCGTAAGCATTGAAGCACAGCAAAGACAATCATTACATATTTTCTCATGAACATACAGAGACCCTCTTGATCTCATACTACAAAAGGACACTTCTTTAATCTGATTAAGAAAATCAACAGGTACAATTACTCTCCTAGGTACAACTCTTTTTCTAACATAATCAATTGTCTAAGGCAGTACAATGTTCAGTAACAATCAATCATCCTGTCAAGCCTTCCTAATTTTGGGGTGGACATGAAAGTCCATTGTTATGCTATATTACTAAAATCAACCCATTCTCTAGTACTCAATTCATCTAGCCTATTATCAATTACTTCAAAGTGATCTAAAACAACTCATCAAATCTATGTAAGTTCTACTGAAGTCTAACTCTTAACTAGAAATTCCTAACCTCCACACACCCTGCAAACTGTTGGCCTTTCGCATACACCAGGAGATGTATTGTTGGGCAAACAGGTACCCCCAAGTTAGGCTAAGGTTTCCAAGCACAGCTGGTTCAGGGCAGCTTGTTCTCCATAGTTCTCAGGGCCGAAACATTTCTTTCCTAACTATATCTTTAACAATTTTTACTTCTTTTGTGATAGTTCATGCGTAAGAACAATAAGCCAGTTGTCACCTGGGTCCGAATTAGGTTTTCACGGGCCAATTAATAACTAACTTACTTCAGCATTAACCAAGAACAAAGAGGAGAGCATTAGCAGGCATTGCCATGGAGACTCCCTAGTTCAGATCTTCTTTGGGAAGTGCAAGAACTTCCTTCTTCTGGGAAGTGCAACTTTCCCTCTTCAGGGGAGCACAGGGACTCCCCTCTTCTCAGGAGTCTCCCCCAATGCCCAAACCATGTTAGGAGACAGCATGGGAGGCGCAGCCTGCCTGCTGCAGAGCTGGGCTCCGCAAGAGCAGCCTCAGCGAGTCCTCTGCTCCCAGCCAAGGACTGGAACGCTGAGTCGGCTTCAGGTGGCGGCTCCTTTTATCCCCCCCCCCCCGCCCCCCCCTTAGGCCCAGGCACAGTCTGCTGTATCAGTCTTTACCGCTCACCATGTGCCTCAGCCTCTTTCACTCACAGCGCTCGCAGCCACCTTCATGTTTTCAATTTTACTTGTAAGCGTCATATGTTCGTCACACCTGCAAACAGCCAGAGGGCAGCCGGTGAGCTGGGGAGAAAAGGCAGGCGAGGGAAGCACCGGAGGGTGCAGCTGCCCAGGTCCCCGCCCGCGCCCTGGGGCTCTGGGGAGACGCGGAGCCAGCGCTGGGGTGAGTCTCCGGAGCGGGGTTCACCCCTGGTGGACCCAACTCCTGGTCAGGGCGCACAGCCCGTGCCTGCGGGGACAGACAGCAGCGCCCCCATCCCGGGTCAGGGATGGGACAGGCCCGGCCTGTCTGGTCCTGGCTGCGGGGTCGGTGCCAACCGCAGGTCTCGTCCAGACTCAGCAGGAGTGAGATGCCTGCACAGCTGTTAGGGCGGAGGGATGGCGATTTAGGGAGTTTACAGTAAATAGAGCTTTATATATTTGTTCCCGTGGGGGCAACTTGCTCTGTAGATTCCCGCTTTTTGTTTAATAAGTTGTGTGTTAAGGAGCCTATTGGCTCTTTTAACTGTAGCTGGTCTTGTAGGGCTACAAGGGACGCCAGCACATGTTTAATATAGTTTGTAGCAGGAAAGAGTTACGGGCTTTGGAGATGTAAGCAGGTCCATTATCAGCTTTTATTTGTGATGGGATTCCCATGCCGCAATGGCAGTGAGTTTTTAACATGCTTCACAATTTACCCTGTTTGGGCCGAGGCTTGAATTAATGCCTAATAGGTGTATTTAGAGACATGAATGTAAGGTCTATTAGTCAAATATAACGTTTGACAACTTGGGCTTCTGTATTATTTCTACCTTTTGTAGCAGTGGTTAGAAGAGCCGGTGGGCTGTTATTTTGGAATTTGGTTATGATGTCCTGTCCCAAGAGAGGAACAGGAAGGAAGACTCATTTAATGTGTTATGAATTTTATCAGTATATCTGTAACAAGGTGGTCCCCAGGAAAGGGGGAGGTTCCCTGCCCCTCCCAAGGGAGGGTGGAGCTGAGCAGGGAGAGGAGAATCTGCAGAAGAGACTGAGGAAGGAAGCAGGATGGAGCCAGGAGACCTGGAGGAGGCACATGGAGCCTAGAGACACATGAGAAACTGCGCTTGTCTTTTGGTCGTGGACTGGGTGACACAGATGTGGGTGAGACCCGAGGGGAGGTGACCATGGCAGCTTTTATCTTGATTTTGATTTTGCTCTTTTCCTTCCGGGCTTGTCTGGTTGTTTCTGACCCTTTTCTGTGGGTCCCCACTGGAAGATGCTTTAGACTTGTGGCAGGCTTTGGGGCCTTGTTCTGGGCTGATCCCATATGGATGGACTTTTACCCACGAGGGGATGGGTAACTTTAGGTGCTTCATTTAGAAACTAGACTCTTTGCCTTACCTGTATTGTTTCCTAGTTTTATTAAAGTTCCTTCCCATTAAAGTCTCATATGTTTTGTGTTGATGCGGCGGATGGCAGAACCCATTTAGAATAGGCAGGTTTGTGGGGTTTAGGCTGCCCCTCTCCCTGTCCTATAACAGATTGGGCGTCCAACGTGATTTAGGACAGAGCCATCCGTGGTTATGTTGTAGAGCAACCCCGATACAAAACGGGGTGCCTGACTGTGGGTCCTCACCCACGCGCTTAAAAGGACTTATCAATGCTCTACTGCAGGCACACGTGAAAGGTTAATAAAAGGTTTATTTACAAGGGAAGGGGAAATGAGGAAATGTACAGCTCTGGGAGAAAAGTGGGAGACAAAGTTTTAAATGAGTCCTACCCGATCCGCCGATCAGGAATCCCAAAATGGCGCTCTGAGAGCTGGCCGCCAGCCAGGAGCGGTGAAGCCAGGAGGCGAGTGATCGTGAGCCAGAGAGACCCCAAGGCCCACGTGTTTGGTTTTTATATCCAACCTGGCTGCCCAACTCCACCCTCAGGTCCCAGCCACCCTCCCTTTGGTGGTGATGGGATTTGTCTTTCCCAATGTCTTGATGGCTTTAGTCTGGAGTGGGGGTGGAGTCCACAAAGCCTGTATGGGATTAACTCAGGACATCATTTCCCCCTAACAGTTTTACTCAAAAGATTAGGCAGTACATTGGACCATGTGGCCAGATCAAAGATGGCGTCTGAGGCCACTTGGCATGCTCTTGTAAAATTCAGAGGTTCTTGTTGCTAGGACTTTGGAACTTTTTTTTTCTTTCTTTTTGTAATCTCTGCTGTCTCATTAGCATTTCTAAAGGCAATAATGGTTCTTCAGTGGTATGTTGCTTTGTCTTTGCCTACTTCCTGATCTCTGCCTGATGGATTTTGCAAGCCAATTGTGGAGCAGTGGTGTTTAAATTAGCAAATGTTTGCCTGGGTGTTAAGGAAAGAGTAGCCTTAAGCAGTAACTGGTAATTGCTGGTAGCCTTGATGGATTCTTGGAGATAACTTGAATTTTTGCAAAGTCTGGATCAGAAAAATTAACAAGATTTTGTCTGAGTCTGAAAGGATTTGCTGCTGTGAATTCTGTCTACACAATTTGTTTTGGGCATGTTTGCCATTTTGAATACTGGATTTGTTCAATTGCTGGTGTAAGACAAGATTCTAAGTTTCTGCTTCCTACTGAGGAAGGTCTGTTGTGGAAAGCACTCTTTAGGATGCATCATGTAACTGTACCAGGTTTTCATACCTGTGTTGTTGTTGTCCCTCCCTAGTGTGGGGAAGGTGTAATCTATGCTTAGATGTTAAATCTGCTCTTTCAGCTTCTGTCCCAGAGTGGCTAACAGAAGTAAGGAGATGACTCCTTTTAATTGAAAGTTAATTACTGATATTTTGATTTTGCTTTTTCAGGTTCTATTCCAGGAAACCCAAGGAGTGCCTGCTTGGTGGCTAACAAGACATGACTCCTTTTGCTTAAAAGTTAACTGTTACTTTTATTCTTTCAGTTGCTGTACAGAATACCCCAGGATTGACTTCTAATAAAAAGTCTTCAACACTGAAAACCCTAAGGTGATAAACAAGGTCATGTAACTCTTGTGATTAATAAAACTTTTCCTTCCTATTTCCAAAGTCTTAGGTTTGTAGGATGACAACTGGAAATTTTTCTGCCAGCAACACTCCACATTTTTTTTTGGACTTTGACTTTTTTTTTCCGAGCCTATGGAGTAAAACTGCAGTTACCTAACATATTCCACGTGGCATAACTTAAAAAAAAAAAGTCTTTGTCTATATGTTGTCTGTCTGTATGTCCTTGTGTCTAACTGTCTTGACCTCCAGTGATTGACAAATTGGTACACATGGTGCCCATAGACGTTGGAAAGGAGGAAAAAAAAAAAAAGAGTCTCCAGTTATGAGAAAAACAAAAAGTTATTGTTTGATTGTCAACATTGTGCTACTGAACTAAGCCGGTGCCTTCATAGAGATTGAATATTGTTGTTTCTGTTAATTTTTCTGATATTTATGGCAAAGCTTCCCAGAAATCTAAATTCAAGTACAAATTTGGTAGCCTGTCATTTGGCTGATGCAAGGAAATTTTGTGGAACCTCAGTAGATCTCCTGAGACACTCCACAAAGTTTCTCCCTCTCCTGGGAAGGCATTAGATGAATTTATTCTATTTGGCTTTTACCTAATGAAGTAAAACTGGAAGGGAAGCATTGTCACTTGGGAAAATGGTAAAACTTTGGTATGTACAAAATGTTAACAGTAGTTTTCTAAAATGGGTATAAAAATACCTCTCAGTATCTGGTATGTATGTAAATTGTCAATGGTGATTGTCACCTTGTAATATTGTGTAATTCAATTGTTTCATATCTACAGAAATTGTTTCCGGAAATATAGGGAGAAAAGGTCTCAACAGATTCCTATTGATGGAACTGTTGAGAGTAAAAAACTTTCCTACAAAGGACTGAATAGACCTGGAAATACACCTGACATTGACTAAGTTTTTTTTTGACATGATACTGGTAATTTTTTATGCATTCTGTCCTGAATCCACAAAGTTTTTGTTTTGTTTTGTTTTGTTTTGAGTAACCAGGATCTGCAGCAAGGTTGCAATTTTTTCCAGCAAAGCTAACTTGTCACATTTTCTCTCCCCTTGATACCAACACAGCATACAAATAGTGGTAGTAATTTTTGCTACGTATCTCAGAGTCTGTTTTTGCATAATTTCCATAGGGATTTTGTCTGTTTAAACAAAAATTGGACGTCAGTTTGATTGTGTGGCTTTGTGTGGAGTTCTTCCAGAAAGTTGAAAAAGAGCTGAACCAAGAAGAGGAGAACCTGTTTGCCTTGTTTGTAGGGTTCCAGAGACCTCCAAAGAAGGTGAGGAAGCTTGCCTCCATTGGCAGGACTGGACAACCTGGCCAACGAAAATGCCCTGGTACCCTCGAGAAGAGGAAAGCCCAGGTGGAGTCTGATGACCAACTTTGTACCTGAAGCCTACATCGACCGGATGCCACCGGTTCGCTCTGATCCTATATGGAGTATTTCAACAAAGCCAGCTAAAAATTGCTGTTAGTTATTTCTGCCCTGTGATTTTATGCAAAAATAGGAAAAATGGTTTAAAAGTAGATTTAATTTGCAAACTTTTGCTATGCTGTTAAAGTTTGGGATCAAGGTTGAGAGAATTCGTTTTTGCATAAGTTGAACCATTTTAACATTTTTTCCCTGTGATTTTGATATATTTGCTATCTTGTTTTGGCCAATGCTCCAAATTTTTTTCTTTTGGCTTGGATAATGGACTATTTTTAAGTAATGAAACTGTCATACTGGACATTCATGGACAATGCTGCTGACTAATTGTTGCTTCTCTTACACACATTGTAACCCTGAAAAAAGACTGTCTCCTAAGATTACACCATGAGATCTGTGCCACCATAGATATGGTGGAATAAAAACTAAAAGGGGGGATTGTAACAGGGTGGTCCCCAGGAAAGGGGGAGGTTCCCTGCCCCTCCCAAGGGAGGGTGGAGCTGAGCAGGGAGAGGAGAATCTGCAGAAGAGACTGAGGAAAGAAGCAGGATGGAGCCAGGAGACCTGGAGGAGGAGGCACATGGAGCCTAGAGACACATGAGAAACTGCGCTTGTCTTTTGGTCGTGGTCTGGGTGACACAGATGTGGGTGAGACCCGAGGGGAGGTGACCATGGCAGCTTTTATCTTGATTTTGATTTTGCTCTTTTCCTTCCGGGCTTGTCTGGTTGTTTCTGACCCTTTTCTGTGGGTCCCCACTGGAAGATGCTTTAGACTTGTGGCAGGCTTTGGGGCCTTGTTCTGGGCCGATCCCATATGGATGGACTTTTACCCACGAGGGGACGGGTAACTTTAGGTGCTTCATTTAGAAACTAGACTCTTTGCCTTACCTGTATTGTTTCCTAGTTTTATTAAAGTTCCTTCCCGTTAAAGTCTCATATGTTTTGTGTTGATGCGGCGGATGGCAGAACCCATTTAGAATAGGCAGGTTTGTGGGGTTTAGGCTGCCCCTCTCCCTGTCCTATAACATATCCAGATTGACTCAATTTGTTTTTTTAAAAAAGGAAAACCCTTTTATCGGCTGTCTTAGGAGTCCTTTTAGGACAAAAACTTTAATTTTTTAGAATTTTTGGTATCAAGGAAGTTGTCATAGGATTCACAGATTTACAGATTTTTATAAAATACTTAATTACTCAGTGATAAGGATTTTTAAGAACAGAGCTATTTCTTTGACAAGGGTTAGCAGTGCTGATAGGAAAAGATTTTTTCTCATAGCCTGAGGGTAAAAAAGCACCAAGATTTTAGATTACGTAAACAGTCCTTAATTTGTTATCAAAAATAGTGAGAACAGTTTAAGAATACTTGAGTCCTTATTTCAGATGAAAATTAAAGTTTGGTTTTACATAAGTACACTACTGATACCAAACTTAAATATTTCTCTAGCAAGTCATTTGCGCACCTAGCATTTTTTTCAGATACCTCTCTCAGACCTTCAACACTTTCTTTTGCCTTCCTATTTTTATACCATTTCTTTTTAAAGCTAGCCATTTTATTTTGAGACCAATGTTTCCCAATACCCTCAACATATCCATTTCAAATACATTCCTTAACACAACTCACTTTATTTACATTCACAGTTAGGACATCCTGTTTTTAATTTTTAGATTGTAACATATTGTAAGAGCTGTTATGCTATCATTTCTTTGTACTGGATAACTCATACATAAACACATTTTAATAGGTTTAATTTTTTTAGGTGAGATGACATTAAATTTTAGTTTTCTTATAAGAAGCAAAAAGTAAACCTGCAAGCTCAATGATTTTAGAGAAAGTGATTTTAATTATTTAACAAATTCTCATTGTTAAACTTAGTAAAACCTTAGTTTTATATGAAATTTGTCCACTATTTTTAAAAAATTTTTATTTATTCATACAAGCACTGGGTACAGTCAGAAGCATGTGAGGGTGAGAGAATTCACCAGAGCCAGAGTGGGAAGAAGAACAGGCAGACTGACGAAATACACTGCTGAGGGAGCAGTGAGCGCCACAGGAGAGGTCTGCATGCCATGTGGGACCCTCACCAGTGGCCTGGGATCGAACCAGTGCTGCAGAGGCTGCGGGCAGCTTCGCAGGCCAGCACGCAACCTCTGAGTCACCGGGGAGGCCCAAAATTTGGCCGCTATTTACAAAATGATAAGAGAACAAATTTAAGAGAGAGATGCCAATTGTAGTTTTGGGTTTTTTTAAAAAAGATTTGTTTATTTATTTATACAAGCACTGGGTACAGTCAGAAGCACGGGAAGGTGAGAGAATTCACCAGAGCCAGAGAGGGGAACAGAACAGGCAGAGTGAAGAAATACACTGCTGAGGGGAGCAGTGGGCGGGACAGGAGAGGTCTGTGTGCCATGTGGGACCCTCACCGGTGGCCAGGGATTGAACTGGCGCTGCAGAGGCTGAGGGCAGCTTTGCAGCCCAGCGTTCAACTGCTGCACCACCAGGGGAGGCCCACCAATTGTAGTTTTCAGGTTTTTTTAGGACTGGAATTTTAAATTAAAATTCCAGAGTTGCAAATTGTAACAATCCCATAAACCAAATTTCATTCTTAGGCAAGCACTAGTTAGATTGATGAAAAGCAAGAAAAATCAGAGAGACTTAACATCATGTACATTTCCTACATACCTGTGAGGAACTCAGTACTGCTAAGTAACTTGCAGTTGAGGCTATAGACGTCATCTTGAAATTTTTGCTAGGACAAGGGGAAAGAGAGAAGTCAATTGGGGCTTTTCCTGGAAAAGAATTTTATCAATAGAACGTTAGGTATAATCATCAAAATGCAAACTTACCTTCTTTGATGTAGACTCAATTACTCTTTTTTCTGAATACTGTGCACTTCCTTTTTAAAATGAAGACATTGAAACATAAGTATTGATACCCAACATTATAACCTTAAAGCATGCATGCTTTATATTCAACCATTAAGTTTTGAACTAGTTTTTAATTACCAAAATTTTACATCGCAATCTCAAAATTGGGAATTTTTTTATTAGAATTTATATAGGTGCTATTTATAATCAACCCTCTGGAGGACAAAGACGGTAATAGACACTAAAATTTTTTGATTCTCATTTTAAAACTTTGGCCATGTGTATTCGCTTTTTCTTTTTTTTTTTTTAAGATTTATTTATTTTGCATACAAGAACTGGGGTACAGACCAGACGTGCAGGGGGTGAGAGTGCTGGGGAGCAGTACAGGCAGGCAGATTGAAATACACTGCTGAGGGGAGCAGCAGGCAAGACAGGAGAGGTCTGGTGTGACATGTGGGTAGCTCCCTGGCCAGGGATTGAAGTCGTGCTGTAGAGGCTGTGGATAGCTTTGTAGTGATGGGTTTTTGGGAGTCAATGGGTTTGGAGTGCGGGGGCCCTTGGGTTTGATAGAGGCCAAGAATAGAAAGACTGGAAAGGAGGTACCTCAAGCCTAGAACCTGACTCACAAGGAGATGGGGGTAGAGGGAAATAACATGACCATTAACCCAGCTGTAGAGGTCGTGACCCTTTGGCACTGGGGCCTTATCACAAGGCATGAGACCCAAGCAGGATCAGATGCTATAGGGAGTGCAGCACAGACCTGAGGGGAAAGATATAGAAATTGGGCCCATTCGGGAATCTCCACTGCCCATCCTGGTATCTCTGGTCCCTTTTGGATTCTGCGTGGTTATCCAAAATCAGCAACCAACTGACGGCTCACAAGGAGTGACCCCTCCAAACAGAAAAGGACTACATGGGTACAGTCTCTGCACAGGCTCGGGGCAGCACTCCCACTGCCCACCTGTGCCTATGCAGGTGCCTCTTCACCCACTCTCACCCAGGCTTCCTGCCTGCCCGTGACCTGTCCCATGACGGGGGCTCTCCTCACTGACCTCCCTCAGCGGAGGCCGCTCTCAAGGCCGCCCACCTGCAACCACGCAGGCCTCTCTCAGCAAAGCTACCCCTTTCCCTAATAAACCTGTTCTTTAAATATAACTACCGTCTCTGTCTCGTGGAGAAACTCGCCCTGGGAAACTCGCCGCGTGCCACTGATAGGGGAGCTCTGCTGACACCTTTCCCAGAGTGAACCCCAGGACCCAGCACTAACTCCAAAAACCTCATCAGGTTCACTCTGGGAAAGTTTTCACCAGAGCCCCCCTTTCAGCAGCATGCGGTGAGTTTCCCAGGCGAATTTCTCCACGTGGCAGAGACATTAGTTATATTTAAAGAGCAGGTTTATTAGGGAAAGGGATGGAGGAATAAAGGAAACTTGCATAGACACAAGCAAGAGCTGCCCAGAGAGGGACAGGTTTTCTGAGAGAGGCCTGCGTAGTTGCAGGCGGGTGGCTTTGAGGAGAGCGGCCTCCTCTGAGGGAGGTCAGTGAGGAGAAGCCCCGGCATGGGACAGGTCACGGGTGAGAAACCTGGGTTTCTCACCTGGGTGAGAAAACCTGGGTGAGAGTGGGTGAAGAGTCACCTGCATAGGCACAGGTGGGCAGAGGGAGTGCTGCCCCAAGCCTGTGCAGAGACTGTACTGATATAGTCTTCAGTTTGGGAGGGGTCACTCCTTGTGAGCCTTCAGGTTAGTTGCTGATTTTGGATAACTGTGCAGAATCTGAAAGGGACAGGAGATTCCACAAGGGCTCAATCTCCCTATCTTTACCCTTGGGCCTGTGCTCCAGACACTCCCTACAGCAGTCTGATCCCTGCTTGGGATTTATGCTTTGTAATCTAGGCTTTGGGACCTAAGGATCTTGGTTTCCATAGCTGTGTCCATGGCTATGCTAATCTCTTCTACTCCCCCCCTCGTTCTGGTTTTGTGGTGCCTCCTTTTCAGTTTTTTTCTATTCCTGTCCCCCATCATCCCCCCACCCCCACTCCACCATATCTGGCCCGAAATCTTTTGGGGAATTGAAGGGAGGAGGTCCATTTTCTGTAGCTGCTTCCTGCTGCAGTGGGACACATTGCTGGCCCTACCTACATGGGTCTGGGATATGGTCTCCCTAACACTAGTCCCTGAGCTGCCCATTGTTGCTGGTTTCAGAAGGAGGCAAGGGGTAGGGCATCTGGACAGGCTGTTTCTCTTGTGTGGATCAGCTATTTTTTGCTTGGAGGAGGAGTTTAAACTTGAAGAGCTCCCCCAGGTTAGAAGAAACACATTTAATTAGGAGATTGTGTGTGTTAAGGTTTAAAGAGAAGAGTGAGAAGTATAAGGGCCCTCAGTAACAAAGACAGTCATTTGGCCCTTTTTGGGCTACAGGATGAAGACAATTCCAAGTGTTCAGGAGCACCAGTCATGTAAAGGGGAGTTTGCAGGAAACTGTCGTCCCTTAAAAGCAAAACTATATAAAATAGTTAAATATAAAAAGTGCTAGTCCTATCTGTAGGTTGAAGAGGATCAGAAATAAAAAAAAAAATAGTTACTGAATCATGTGCTCTGTCCTGTAAATAGACATGTTTTTCCTTGGGCAGCAGTAAGCAGATCCAGTGCCCTTTGATTTTGCTAAGGCCATTCCTATTATATTTTGTGAGGAGGGGAAGGTGGGTCCGGAATGCTGGGTGAGTACAGAGAAAGTGGCTCCTGTAGCAATTAGAAAATTAATATTCTTACCTGGGACTTCCAGGGTTACCCCAGGCTCAGCCATGGAGATGGTCAGCTGGGGAGCTGGCGACATCCTTGGGCCCCATCATTTGTCATCCAGGAGGTGTCACTGGTCATCCAGGAGGAACAGGCTGGGGTCTGGTGGCTCCTCCCTTCAGAGAAGGGGACAATCCCTTTTCCAGTGGCCGTCCTTTTTGTACCTCAGGCACGGCCTAGGTGGATTTCTGAGTTGTGTGTGAAAGGTTTGGTGAGGTAAAGAAGAGCCAGGCCAAGCTTTCTCAAAGGAAGGGAAAATTTATTGCGCCCCAGGTGGAATTAATGGACCCAAGGTGGGGGGTCCTTGAAGCCAGGCATGTTGTCAGGGGGAGGCAGGCTTTTATAGGGTAAGGAGAAGTCAGGTGGGAGACTGGATTTGCAAGGCAGGGAAAAGATTCAAGGGCTGGGAGAAGTTCATTGTCTGAATTTTCCAGGCAGGCTTCTGCATTCCTGCCCCCAGGTGGGCCCCCTGGTGGGCTTTTGCATTCTGGCCTCCTGCATCTTCCTTTTGAGACAGGGCAAGCTAGGGTTATTAGGCAGTTTTAGGGACAGTGCAGGAGGGGACCTCTGAAAAAATTCAGGAAGGCTTCAGAGATAAGGACGAGCAAGGAAATGAAACCAATTCCACTGGGAAAAACAAACATCCTAGCACCACAGATAATCTTGTTAAGGATGGTCCTGGTTTTCTTCAGATGATAAGATAAAGTGTAAAGATGCTCACCGGGAGGGCTAGACCATAAAGATAAAGATATAACAAATGGGGAAAGACAGACCTGTTAGATAAGGAATGTGAAGATCTCCCACTCAGTAGCAAATTAAGTGAGACAGCCAAAAACTGACCAATCACAAAGAGACTGGTAGAGCTTTAGAATAATGAGGGAAAGAAGGTCTATATTCCCTGAGACACGACTCCACTTTGGCTTCCTTGCCCCTCCCAGGCCTGGTTCCCTGGCCTGGGAGTCCCACTTTATTTCTGCTCTTTTTCTCCTCAATAAACTTTTTTTTTCTTCTAAACAAACCTGCGCTTCTCGCTTGCTTGCCTGAGCGTCTGTGAAGTTCCTGCTTCTCGCTTGCTTGCCTGAGCGTCTGTGAAGTTCCTGCTGAAGTTCCTGCTGAGGCTTCATGAGACACCAACCCGTGGGGGGTCTACCTGCTGGGGCTCAGCACTGCCCTGCAGCCTGGAATCCATTCCTGGCTGGGAGACTAGGCCTGACAATTCCGGTATCACTTTCAGTGTGCCTTTCCTGCTCCAGTGCCCAGATGTTGTACCTGTCTCATGGGGCCATTGAAGCTCCTCCATTCTTTCTTCCAGGCTGGTTAGTGTGAGACTTAGCCACTATTCCTCCATCTTGTGTAGAACCGCCATCATAGTATTTCAAGTTTTGCTTACTCAAGACTAATTAGCCTGCATTCCAAAGAGAGTTTATGACCCCCACCCCACTCTGGTCTTATCTCTGATGGCCAGCCACAGTGGAGCCGAGTAATGGGTCTAATTGGCCATAAAATAGAACTGAGCAATGCAGGCCACTGATGGGGTCAAACTAGCCATAAAATAACTGTGTACCCACCATTATTAAGAAATGCACCTGTGTAATCAACGAATGATGCACCTATGTAACTAATGAATGACTGCCAACATGATTTAATTTTTAGAAATCTACTTGTATTCCTATATAAGATCCCTATCTCCTTTGTTCAGGGCTCCCAACCTCCACCGTTACGTCGGTGGGTGTCGAGGGCCCGGTCTCGAGCCCGTAATAAACTCCTTTGTGTTCTTACAGCGGTTGTCTATGTGTCCTTGGGGGCTGCACTGGTCGACGCTGGGCACAATAGTTAGTCTTCTGTTTCTCTGAGCCTGGGGAAGCCTGGGTCTGCAGGGTGCTGGCAATGGCGGCGCCTATTAATGGAGCCTGCCTGTACACCCTCGTCACAACTTACTTTCCCTTTTTAACACTTTACTTTTGTCCCTGTTATTAAAGATTTTAAAAGCCACTTCTAAAAGCTGGTGTGGCAGAGTTTGGGGTCCCATGCCTAAGTTTTTGCAGCTTTCTGCGTATATCTGGTGTAAACTCATGGAATGAATCCCCAGAGTCACCTTGCCCTCTCTTGTATTAGGCTCAAGGTTTGTGAACTTGTGAATGGCTTTCACTAGTCGCCCTTGATTTAGTCTTTGGAGCCTGCACCTGATGTCAGAGCAAGGCTGGCTAATGAAGGAGTCTGCTAAAATGCTTGGCTTCTTCTGGGCTAGATTAGTATACCTTTTCATAGCCTCAGCAAATTTAGTCTGAAATGATGTGGGATTTTTTTGGCTTTTGAGTAACTTCTTTTTAGCCCTTTTATAATTGACTGGCTTTTTAGGTTTTAGAAAGTGTTCTGTATTTTATTTTTATTTATTTTTTAAGATTTACTTATTTATGCATACAAGAACTGGGGTACAGGCCAGATGCGTGTGAGGGTGAGAGGACTCACCAGAGACAGAGCAGGGAACAGAACAGGCAGACTGACGAAATATACTGCTGAGGGGAGCAGTGGTCGAGTCAGGAGAGGTCTGCCGCGCCATGTGGGATTCTCACCAGCCAGACAGCTTCACAGCGCTGTGCTCAACCACCTGTGCCACCAGGGGAGGCCCTCTTATGTATTTTAGAACAACCTCATTAGTTACATTTATGTTGAAAAGGTGTAACAATCCTATGAGAATACTTCCTATGAGTTATCAATATACTCAAATTGACATGTTTGTTTCTCACAATGAAAAACAATTTTATTAGGTATCTTAAGAGCCCCCTTAAGACAAAAACTTTACTATTTCAGAATGAATAGTCATAGAACAAACTTATAGATCTTTACAAAACAATTACTCAGAGTGACAAGGATTTTTAGGAGTAGATCTGTAACAGGGTGGTCCCCAGGAAAGGGGGAGGTTCCCTGTCCCACCCAAGGGAGGGTGGAGCTGAGCAGGAAGAGAAGTGGCAGAAGAGACTGAGGAAGGAAGCAGGATGGAGCTAGGAGACCTGGAGGAGGTGCATGGAGCCTAGAGACACGTGAAGAAACTGCACTTGTCTTTTGGTCATGGACTAGGTGACAATGGCAGCTTTTATCTTGATGTTGATTTTGCTCTTTTCCTTCCGGGCTTGTCTGGTAGTTTTGTTATAGAGCAACCCCGATATTAAACGGGTTCCTGGCTGTGGGTCCTCACCCGCGTGCTTTAAAGGGACTTATGAATACTACAGACACACGCAAAAGGGTTAATAAAAGGTTTATTTACAAGAGAAAAAGAAATAAGGAAAATGTACAACTCAGGGAGAAAATAGGGAAATAAAGTCTTTAATGCATCCTACCTGATTCGACGACCTGGAAACCCAAAGTCACTCTCAGAGCTGACCGGAGCTGCGAGCTGGCCGAGAGCCAAAAATGGGGGATTCCCAAAGCCCACGTGTCTGCCTTTTGTATCCACCTGGCTGCTTAACCCCACCCTCAGGTCCCAGCCACCTTCCCTTTGGTGGTGATGGGATTTGGAGTTCCCAGTGTCTTTGGCTTTGACCTGGGGTGGGGGTGGAGTCCTCAAAGCCTATATGGAATTTGCTTTGGGACATCCTTTTCCCCCTAACAGTTTCTGACCCTTTTCTGTGGGTCCCCACTGGAAGATGCTTTAGACTTGCAGCAGGCTTTGGGGCCTTGTTCTGGGCCATTCCCATATGGATGGACTTTTACCCACGAGGGCACGGGTAACTTTGGGTGCTTCATTTAGAAACTAGACTCTTTGCCTTACCTGTATTGTTTCCTAGTTTTATTAAAGTTCCTTCCCATTAAAGTCATATGTTTTGTGTTGATGCGGCGGATGGCAGAACCCATTTAGAATAAGCAGGTTTGCAGGGTTTGGGCTGCCCCTCTCCCTGTCCTATAACAGATTTGGCGTGATTTAGGACAGAGCCATCCGTGGTTAGTCAGCCCCCTGGGGAAATTGGGCTTCTCTATGGCACTGGCTACCATAAGCGCAAATGTGATTTTTGGTTTCTCCAGTGTGTTTGTTTCATATGTCGATTTGCTGTTGAAAAACTGGCTTGGGCTTTGTTAAGATTCTGTGTGCTTGTGTGTAATTTGTTTGTAGTGATTTGCTAAGAGATTTTAATTTGTGGAAATTTTTTCTGTGCCAGTTTTACTCAAAAGATAAGGCAGTACATTGGACCATGTGGCCAGATCAAAGATGGCATCTGAGGCCACTTGGCAGGCTCTTGTAAAATTCAGAGGTTCTTGTTGGAACTTTGGAACTTTTTTTTTCTTTCTTTTTGTAATCTCTGCTGTCTCATTAGCATTTCTAAAGGCAATAATTGTTCTTCAGTGGTATGTTGCTTTGTCTTTGGCTACTTCCTGCTCTCTGCCTGATGGATTTTGCAAGCCAATTGTGGAGCAGTGGTGTTTAAATTAGCAAATGTATGCCTGGGTGTTAAGGAAAGAGTAGCCTTAAGCAGTAACTGGTAATTGCTGGTAGCCTTGATGGATTCTTGGAGATAACTTGAATTTTTGCAAAGTCTGGATCAGAAAAATTAACAAGATTTTGTCTGAGCCTGAAAGGATTTGCTACTGTGAATTTTGTCTACACAATTTGTTTTGGGCATGTTTGCCATTTTGAATACTGGATTTGTTCAATTGCTGGTGTAAGACAAGATTCTAAGTTTCTGCTTCCTACGGAGGAAGGTTATGGAAAGCACTCTTTAGGGTGCATCATGTAACTGTACCAGGTTTTCATACCTGTGTTGTTGTTGTCCCTCCCTAGTGTGGGGGAGGTGTAATCTATGCTTAGATGTTGAATCTGCTCTTTCAGCTTCTGTCCCAGAGTGGCTAACAGAAGTAAGGAGATGACTCCTTTTAATTGAAAGTTAATTACTGATATTTTGATTTTGCTTTTTCAGGTTCTATTCCAGGAAACCCAAGGAGTGCCTGCTTGGTGGCTAACAAGAGATGACTCCTTTTGCTTAAAAGTTAACTTTTATTCTTTCAGGTTGGTGTACAGAATACCCCAGGATTGACTTCTAACAAAAAGTCTTCAACACTGAAAACCCTAAAGTGATAAACAAGGTCATGTAACTCTTGTGATTAATAAAACTTTTCCTTCCTATTTCCAAAGTCTTAGGTTTGTAGGATTGACAACTGGAATTTTTTCTGCCAGCAACACTCCACATTTTTTTGGACTTTGACATTTTTTTTCTGAGCCTATGGAGTAAAACTGCAGTTACATAACATATTCTACGTGGCATAACTAAAAAAACCTGTCTTTGTCATTATGTTGTATGTCTGTATGTCCTTGTGTCTGTCTTGGCCTA